TAGTTGTGTTAGTTTAATTTAATAATACTTTTTTAGAAAAATAAAAAAAGATTGGACTTTTCCCGACAATGGATATCCTAGACAATTTTCTTGAAGGTTTAAATGCTGACCAAAAACAAAACAAAAAAAATAGAAAAATGGAAAAATATTTTATTTATTTTTGTAGGTAGTAATAATCCCCTGTGATTTTTCTTTGTGTCTCGGTTCTTTTTCATGGGATGTAATTTGAACCGAGTCATAGTTTTTTTATTTTTAGAGTAGAATAGGATTTAGGGAATAAAATAAGGAAGATGAAATTCCTAGGCGCTTTTTGACTTGTTTGATAGTAACATATTTAGGCTCTAGCATGTGTATTACCTTCCTTATAATTTGACATTGCTTATGATGTCGTATTGAGTTAGATAGCATGTCTATTGACGCATATATCTCATTTTCTTGGCTCATGTTTACTTTGTGCTTAATGCTTAATATTTTGTGGCTCCGTGAATACTCTTATTGTTTGAAAATCGGAATGGAACCGTCCATAGTGAGTCATGTGTCACGTGTGGTGAGAAATTGTATAGTTTGTATCATTGCATTAGTGTCTAGAACTTGTCCGGCATGTGAGTTGAAGCGAAATTTTAGGTTTTGCTTGGTTTGAAAAATGATTTTAGGCTTTCTTTAATTTTTTTGAACTTAATGTCTACCACAAATAAAATATATCCCTAGTTAACCTTTTTGAGCCTATAGACTTTTATTTGGCATCCAAATTATAAGCTTATACCCTTTTTATTCTTAATTGACGTTGTTTCGATCCTTTTACCTCTTGAAGTACTTTAATTGTGAAATGAATGCTAGAAGAAGTAAGGACTAAGTGTGGGGTGGCTTTCAAGTGGAACCAATAAAAGAAAAAAAGGTGCACTTATTTTGTAAGATAATACACCACTAGCGAAAACTGAAAAGGAAAAATAATAGTAAAAAAAAAAGAAGAAGAAGAAGAAGAAGGAGAAGAAGGGAAAATATAGATGAATAAATTATTGTCTTGTTCTTGCTAGTAGGGTATAAAGTAAAGTAGTGCTTAAAGAAATAGAAAATATTTTTGGGGTGTGATCTTGTTTGTGAAATTAAAGTTGGGATTGAGGAATTTACGCTTAAAGTTAATTTTATAATGTGTTAAAGTGCTTAGGAGGGTTAGCCACTATTCCAAAAATATATCCTACCCGTCCTGTAATCCACATTACAACCATAAAAAAAAGTCCTAATTAATTTTAGATCGAGCAAGCCTACAAGGTTATGGTACTTTGTGCATGCATGTGACTTCTTTGAAAGAGTGAGAAATTTCATTGATATATGTGAGTCCTTAAAATATATTTGAGCATTTGATTCAAATGTGTGGATTCAACTTACTCTTTTGTTCTTGTTGTGAGGGCACATGATTTCGCAAGGAATAGGTGACGTTATTAGATGTCTCTATGATGTTAAGTGTTCAAGCCATTAATGCATTATGATATTGAGTCGGCTTGTCAGGCTAGGATTGTTATAAGCATGTTGTCTTGTTGTTGAATAAATTTTTGAAGTATGGCATAGAGTAAAGGGAAGTGTTTGTTGAAGGCATATGCTAAAGTTTAATTGTTGCTATCTACCATAGTCATAGGTATGGTATGCTTCGGATGTGCTAAAAGAAAATAAAGTGCTCAAGGTTAGTATGAATTGGTGGTTGATCAGAGGACGAGCAACGTTTAAGCGTGAGGTGGTGATGCTAGGCCAAAATGCTATACTTTTAGTACATTACTCGCCCTATATTTTGTTGGTTTAGTGATTAATTGTGCGACATTTGAGCTAAATTATATTTTTTATTGTGTAGGAACATCGAAAGAAATAATCGAATGAAAGTTGCACAACAAGAGGACAAAACAATGCAAGAAAAGAGCGCAGAAGCATCAAGTGCCCAAACTTTGCTACAGACCAGGTTTCGCGAGGTCTATAGCCAACTTAACCGTGCTACAAATCAGGTTTCGTGAGGTCTATAGCCAGCTTGACCGCGCTATAGACCAGGCTTCGCGAGATCTATGACTACGCTATAGACTAGGCTTCGCGAGGTCTATAGCCAGGTTGACCCCGCTATAAGCCTGGCTTCGCGAGGTCTATAGCCCGGTAATTAAAAGCCGGGGGTTAAAAGACTCCGACTCGGATTTGGACTCAAGGACTTCAACCCTAACCTATAAATACTCCCTTGGAAGCAACTAATCACAATAGTTTTCTCTTTCGTTCTTCCTTAATCTATATTTTAATGCTTTCAATTATTATCATGATTGTTAGTATGGTTATGAGTAGCTAAACTTTTCCATCTAGGGTTTGATGGAACCTTTTGAATGATGATTTTTCTGTTGCGTTTAATATAATTTTGCCACTGGATTTTCTCTTCTTGTTCAACTATGTGATTATTTTAGTTGATTGAAGGGCTCTCAATTGACTGTGCCTATTCAATGTGTATTGCTTAGAAAATAGTACATATTTAGGTAGTTGTTGAACAACATCACTCCTAACGTATGTGAGGAATCAATACGGAGGGTTTAAAGGTGGGATTAGAAATACGAAATCTTGGTGTGATCTTAGTAAGCGGTGAATTAGTGCCAGCTAGCGTAGTTTGGAAGAATATGTCTAGTAAATTGTGGTAGTTGCTCGGAAGAGAATTACGACACCCAAAGTACTCACGATCGGTAGAGAATACTTATGCGAAATTATAGAAGACTTAGCGGGAAGGATTCCGACATTTGGGGAAATCATAACTCCAGACCTCCTTAGTCTTGTCTCCAACCCTTAGTATTTCTAGTTGTTAATCTACTAATTTAATTTGTTAGTTAATTAGATACAAGAATCTTAATATTTATAACTTAGGAATTGTTCGAGTTTGTCTTCTCAGTGATAGTAAACAATTGTAGCTAAACCTTAGTTCTCTGTGGGATTCAACTCCGGACTTTTAGACCGGATTATATTTGCAGCGACCGCTTATCCTTTTTAGGACTAGAGTTGGGCGTGATCAAGGTGTAATAATAAATTTAAATAGCTATTTCTATAGTCGGTTTGGTTCGGGTTTTTCGGTTACTTTTTTATTAAAACCAAAATCAAACCGAATTTGATCGGTTTTTAAAATTCAAAATCAAAACCAAACCAAACCTAAAAGGTATCGATTTTTTTTGTCGATTTGGTTTGTTTTTTCGGATTTTTATGAACACCCCTGATCTAAAACTAAAGGGATAGTGTTCACAAGCTTCCCGGAACCAAAGTGTTGCTAGTCAAAGTCAAATTAAGTACATTTAACGTGAAAGCACAAGATACTTCCTAAATACACATCTATACTCACCCGAATTCCCAACTAAAATTAAAGTTGGTCGAAATGAAGTGGAAGGAAAACCCTTGAACCGTGATTTGACCACTTACTCGATCGCAATTACATAGTACCACCAGAAATTACTCCTAAATTTCTAAGAACTTGTGCACCTTACAGAATTCAATGTTCGTATATTTTGCTCATTCGACATGACATGAATTATTAACTTGTTATGAGTCCCAAATTGAATTTTACTTTATATTCAATCCAGTCAATATGCTTTAAAACAAAGAAATGTTTTCCTTTAATGATAAACTAAGCTTTAGATTCAACCCTGTATTAGGGGATGAGACTGCCTTTCACTAATTACCGGTTCTCTATATATCCAGCTAGCCTAGCAACCAAATACCAAGATTACTAAATGGGTACAGACCTTGGAACTTATTTCTTTGAGGACAAAACTTAAAGGAAGAATTATTATTATTATTATTATTATAGATCGCTATAAACAATAAAGTTTATCCAATATAGATATAGGTAAATTGAATTTTCCGTGTCACGACATTTGCTTTTAATCTATTTTTATCCATGTCATACTTCTTTATTTAAAATTAATTTTACTTTAAAAATTTTATTTTACCCTTAATTAAAGAATTTACAGCTACATTTATGATTTACTTTGATCATAATGTTTTAATTTTTTCTTAAATTTCGTGCTCAGTTAATACTGTCACGTAAATTAGTACTATTTTTCTACTAAGGCATAAAAACCTAGCAATTAGCAAGTTCTAGAAAATATTCGTACGAAAAAATAAAATGTTTTAAGAACTAGAATATTCCAGTGAATTGTCAACCACACTCTTTAAATATGGTGCCTCAGTAAATGTTAGTGAAGCCTGTAAAATTATGGGGAAACTGTAGAAACGAATAAAGAAAAAGAAAAAGAAGTAGGTTCTCATGATTGTGTTGAATAAACTTTTCTTTTTCATTCTTTCCTTTGATGAGAAGGGACACGTGTCAGGGAAAACCTACCTTGCTAAGTAAACTTTTAATCAAACTGCAGCTGCTAGGGTTTTGAAAAAAAGACAAGTGTATCCAAATAATAAAACATATAGCATTCTCTTAGTACTCCTATTTTATGTGTTTGCTTCCTTTTTGTTGATTATTATCTTAAGAGTCACGACATCGAATTTAGAAAAATATCCTCAACAGAAAGACTTTTTCCTGTTTCCACAGCCTAATTTTTCGTTGATTGTTGGTGCAGATAGTAAACCCAAGCCGTTCTCTCTGTGAATAAAAAGTGTGTCTTCTAAAATTCATAATAGTATTTATATAAATTATATTATAGGAGCTAGCTGGCTTATTGGCTTGAAAGTGTTAAATAGGAAAATTATTTGAATGAGGACATTGAAGAGAAGTAAAAAAAAAAGGTTTTTATTTGGGACTGGTCCAAATTAAAATTGATTTCCATGTGAAATATGCAGCAAAATCACAAATTTACGAGTGACAATGACTTAAAGTCATAGCTTGGACAAATCATCACTTGCACGGCTCCACCACTAATAATTGAGCCAATAAAATATTGGCTTTTAATTCGCAATATCAATAATAATGGACCCTCCCTCAAATTGTCACTTTAATATAGTAACGTTAAAGTACCTAAGTCCAAACGGAGGCCGGCCACTATATAAATACCACTCATATACTTTTACGTTCCCATAAATCTGATTACACATTTTTCTCTCATTATTCTCAACAGCAAATCTACATCCCAGAATCTAGCTAGCCTTATCAACCGAACAAAGAAGTTTGCAAAATAAAGTGATACGATATGGAACAGAATTTGCCAGTGATAGCAAAAAAGTTCTGGAACATAGTGCGAGTGGCATTTTTCATGTTGAGAAAAGGCATATCAAAGCAAAAGCTAATGCTTGATATAAAATTAATGGTGAAGCGTAGCAAAATTGGTAGCTGCAAATCTGCTGTCCAAAATCTTATGTTTCACCACACCCATCATTTGTCCTTGAACAAACGAAACAAGCACACTACTACTCTCTCTGCCAATGAAAACGACGTAGTTTTTGTGGATGAAGCTGTGGTTAATGCGTTGGAAATGATTCAGAGTACTGAAACTGCATATTCTCCTGCTAATAATTTGCCTGGTTTTGGGAGGACTCCTATAGTGAGGCAACTTAGGGTTACGGACTCGCCTTTTCCTCTAAGATCAGAAGAAGATAATTATAACCACGTAGATGAAGCAGCTGATGAATTCATTTCCAAGTTTTATAGGAATCTGAGGCGGCAATCTTCGCTTTCTGCTGCTTAATGTTAAAAGAATTCTTGCTTGTTATTGTTCTTGTTATAGGCAATATACTATAAGTAAGAACTATTATGAAGATAATTGGGTGTAGTCTCTACATCTACATGGGGTGTAGTTGTGTTTTTGACAAAAGATTTCGTTTTGATTGTGTAAACAGAACGAAATTCTAATGAACAAGGAATATTTGATTGTAAATAAGAAAATGGTTTGAAGTTGATAAGGTGGAGAAAACGTATTCCCCTGTTTTCTATTAATTAGTGGAGTAGTTTTTAGCTCTTATTTGACGGGTAGAAGTTAGAACATGCGCAATTGGTATTGACCGAAGATCGATCAATTACATGCAAACCGGAGAGAGAACAGAGGGTTTGGAACTAAGAAGACTAGTCTAGTACCAAATTAAATTCGGTATGATTTAATATATTTTTTTTCGATTTCAATTTATTCGGTCTAATAATTTGAGTTTGTTCGACTTAAATATTAACTAATGCATAGAACCATAAACTATAATATTCTTAATTAAAATACTGATAAATACAAAATTGAAAACATTCTAAACTCACGTGACTGTTAAAAAAATTGTTATGCAAAACCAGCAATTATCAACCCATAGAAAGAAAAAAGGTACATAATTTGATCACTAAAAATATCTTGTTACTTGTTTAGAGTTAATTGATAAACTTAGAGAATACAACAAGTACTAATCTAAAAGATGCAACAACAATACACGAGTAACCGAGTAAGAAACACCTAAAACCTTAGAAATATTGCGTTGAACTGCTTCACAACCTCGAGAGTAAGAGTCAGAAACTGCAACTTACTTCTTCTTGTATTTTCCTAAAGAAGTAATACATGAGTTTTATTGCCAACCTCAACATCAATGCCGAAGAAAAATATTATATAACTTAGTATGTTATAATCTATAATATGTATTGTATAACTTAGTATATATTTCGATACGATATAAGTGTTTCGCTATCTTCTTCCCATAAGCACTTTTTTGAGAAGTACTTTTGAGAAAAATACATTTAGAAGCAATTTTTAAAAATTTGGCCAAACACTAATTGCTGCTAAGAAGTACTTTTTAAATTAATTAGCCAAACACAAACTACTTCTCACCAAAAGTACTTTTGAAAAAAAGTACTTCTCAAAATAAGCTGATTTTTCCAGCATATATATATTGTTACGCGACGCCTTCCGGAGATTCCTTGAAAGGGCGGCGTAAGGCTAAGCAATCGATGTCCGTATAGTTACTATTCGCCAACTGAGGTCCCCTCCGTACGCTAGACTAGATTATCAGTGTCGTACAGAAAAACCAATGTCAAGAGTAATTGAGAGAACATAAAAGAGAATTGAGGATGAAAGAAATCTTGATTGCATTAATGAAAGCTATTACAGAAAAAGCAACACGGTGTCGAGGGGGAGAGACACCATTATAGAGAATTGCTTGCTTGCTAGAAAGTTTGATTGCTTGATCCCCCTAATAATACTTTAAAAAAAATAACCCGAAGTTACAGGACTTGACCTAACTAAGCTCAAGGAACATAATGGAAGTACATGAAATAAAATTACTCTATATTTACAATGAAAAGTACTTAGTTTTCTACAATGTAGAAACAGGTCCGTTGTCAGCAATATTGTCTTTGGCATCACGGTCTGTGCGCGCGGCGCTGTTGGAATTTGCATGCGGCTGGGCGCTGGCGAGGGCTATCGGTAGGGCGACAGAGGCACATGCGCGCTTGTCACTTGGCGCAGCCAAGACCACGGTGCCATCCATGGCGCTAGGAGTTGGGAGGCTTGCTAGGATGCCATGGGGCGTGTCCAAGGGGTCATGGGGCATGGCTGGAAAGCCGCCCATGACATTCTCCTCCACCTGAATTGGCGACATCCTTGGTGCCTTACTTGCAAGATAATCATCAATTAAACTCTTGTAGGCTTTGAGGTTTGTTCCCCTCTCCCATGTATTCTCCTATGCATCACAACCCTCATTTTTCACCAAGAATTCTTGGTGATCTTTTATTGAGGTGTAAATCACTCAATAATCAAGAATAGCTTCAGCACGCCTTTTCTCGGTTGAATTGGGGCCTCGAATACTCGGTATTGTGAGTTGGCTCCATGAAGGGTCCTCCATATCTTCCCGAAAAGGTTTCAGAAGACTGACATGAAAGACGGGATGGATCTTTCACTAAGATTGGGTATCCACCTGGTATGTAACTTTCCCAATGCGCCTTTCAAGGGACAAGGGTCCAATGTATTTCTACAATAGGCGAGAGTCATGGACCCCTGCAAATAAGTACCGCTTTGGAATTTTGACCATCACTTTGTCTCTTACTTGGTATTCAACAAAGCGACAATTTTGATCAGCATGCCTCTTCATCCGCTTTTGGGCTTTGACAAGATAGATCTGCACTATCTCCAAATTTCGCTTCCATTCTTTTGAGAAGCTAGCAACTCGAGGAGATTTTGACATGTTTGGTGTATTCACGGTGTGTGGGAGTAGCAGTTGATGTCCGGTAACAATTTCAAAAGAATTTTTGTTCTACAGCTCTTTTGTGGATTGAAACACAGTTGAGCATCATCCAAAAGTTTCACCCAGTTCTTCTCGATCCAGTTACAAAGTGGCGGAGATATTCCTCCAGCATGCCATTGAACCGCTCCATCTGGCCATCAGATTGTGGATGAAAACTTGAGATGTGATTCAATTTTTACCCGAGGCACTTAAAGAGTTGGGTCCAAACATTGCTAGTGAAGCGTGAGTTGCGATCACTAACGATATCTTTAGGCATGCCCCAATAGTTGACGACATGAGAGAAAAAGAGTCGAGCTATATCTTCTACTGATATATATTGTGGGGCTACTATAAATGTAGCATACTTGGAAAAATGATCCGCCACTACCAAGATAGTTGTGAGATCTCCGACCTTGGGCAATCCGGTGGTGAAATCCAGAGAAACGCTTTCTCAAGGTCTCTTTGGGACATGTAGTGGTTCCAAGAGTCCCGCTTGTGTCAAGCATACTTGTCCTTCTGGCATACTAGACAAGTCTTTACATACTGAACGACGTCATCAGCCATTTGCGGCCAATAATATGAGCGGCAAAGTAATGACATGGTACGTTCTTCACCGGGATGGCCGGCCCACAAAGTATCATAGCATTCCGTCAGAAGAGTCCTTCGCAGATCTCCTCCTTTAGGAACATAAAGTCGGTTACCTTTCACTTTCAGGAACCCATCTTCCATGTAGAACTGTCGAGTCTTGCCTTATCCTATCAGATCAACCAAATATTGTGCAGCAGGATCCTTGATGAGTAGATCTTGTATCTGGTCTTTTATGGTGGTGGCTACTTCGCTCCCCCTTAGGGTGGCGATTAGGCACACCGATGCTAAGTCAGCCCTCCGACTGAGCGCATCAGCAACCTGGTTAGTCTTCCCACTTTGATACTTCATGTTGAAGTGAAATTTTGCTAAGAGTTCCTGCCATCGGGCCTGGCGGCCATTCAACTTTGGCCGGACCATGAAATGGCTAACCGCTGTATTGTCTGTACAATAGTTTGGTATTTACTATAATATGCACGGCGCAAGTTTCAGCCAAATTTGTTATAGAACTGGCTGGAAAAATATATTCTAAAAAATGCGCCAACTAAACAGAAAAAAGTGCATTCTAAGGAAATAATTTGCGAGATGAAACAAAAAAACTTATTTAATTCAAAATAAAATTCCATGCATTTAAAAACAAATCATTTTTGACGATGTAATGTCAAACTACTCTGTTTTAAAAGGCGTTTTTGGGTGAGCCCCGGGGCGAGGCGTACCAAAAACTCCCCGGGGCGAAAGTCTCAAGAGGCGTACGCCCCGCAACTTGGGGCGTACGCCCCGCAATTTGGGGCATACCCCGGGCGTTCGGGGCGCATTGTTTTTAGTAAGGAGTAAGCCTAGAGACTTTTTCAAATTAAAACAAAATTTATTGAATTAGTACTTCATATAATACCCAAATTCTCAAAAGTCAGTTTGGTAATTACTCAAAAGGTTTAAAAAGTAACTCAAAAGTATTAAATTTAAAAGTAAAGACTTTTTTTATTGATTTAAGCCTTAATTCATGATTTTTCCAAATTTTTATCTTGTTCGCTAGTCTGCTAATATCTCCCAAAAATAACAAATATTTAATTTTGTTTATAAATACAAAGAAAACTATATTTTTCTTCGTAGCAGCAAATTCAAAGTTCAAATTGCAGGTTAATTGTCCTTTTTGTTCTTCCATATATAAAACTTTATTCTGTTAGACTCAAATTACTTGTGCTTGTAAGTAACGTATAATAGATTGTTTTGATTAGTTTTTTGTGGGGATGGAGCACACATATATATAGTTTACTTCAATTTTTATACAATTTTACATGTTTATAAATATTAACTGTCATTATATTATTTTATAAAATATTAAAAATTAAATACTTATGGGGCTTACGCCCCGCTGAGGCATATATAAAATGTCTCACCTTACGCCAACGTCTTTTAAAACACCGGTCAAACATGCCTCGGCCCAATGTCTTTGAGCACGATGTTTGTACAAAACAGCTTTCCAATAGGAGAAACACGTGAAATTTACATGAAGAAATATCTTCGTTGAATCAGTTAACTTCATCGATCAATCAAGCCAACGCAAAGACTTCAAATTAAATCTGTTTCCTTTCAACCAATGTTGCCTAAACAATGGCTACCCTAATTAGCTTAGAACTTTGAAAAGCTTCAAAACCATTTTCTCAGTTTCAAAAAGTGCAAACGAAAGCTCTTCAAGTAAAAATAAACCAATATTGAAAACATGCCATGACTACTTTTGCTATGTAATACATTTTTGTTCATTTATTAGTTGTAAACAACTCGGGAAAAAGTCATGGCAGCCTAAAGTTATAATGGCAATATTGCTCAAAAGCTTCTCGACTTTATTAACATTTGAAAGTGTTGCAAGTGTACTACAGAACCTAAATATATATATTCGTCAAAGTTCAATTTAACGGAAAGCAGAACTAAAGCCCGAATTGACAATATAGCAATTTTGCTTGGATTTATCAGTCGAACCAGGAATATACTACCACACTCCCCCAAATTCCCAACATAGAAAATGGTTAATCAGAAACTTGTAATATTTGAAAATAAACTTCAAGATGTTTGGAGCGTCATAGAAAATTAAGACTTAGATGAAATATTTTGTACTATATTTGAATGTTATTTATATGGGAGAAGGTCCAAATATATCCATGTACT